AACAAAAATGGTGGTTCCCAAACGCGCGCTGGATTTCGCAGCGAACTTCCGACCATTGCGATGCCACCTTTTCATTGGCTCTGAAGAACAACGGCCTGAGCGTCACTTCCGGCGGAAGAGGACGCGGGAGATTTGATTGGAGGGAGCTTGCGAGCTGCTGACTCCGGCGGGTTTGCGTCACTGCGCGTCGCCTGGGCTGGCTCGGGTCTCCTTCCTGAGGTGAGTAACTATGGGAAGAGGTTCTCGGGGAGCTCCTCAGTCCGAGCCTCTTAACAAGTCCCTTAATGCCACTGCGAATGAGACTTAAACACTTGCCTTCACTTTGTGTTGTTTTTTTCACGACTCATCCTCTGTAACGGGGCGGCGGGGAGGGTAGACGGGTAAAATGGTGGAGTATTTTGGACCGAGTGTTGTTGCAGCCGCTCAGCGAACGTTTCTTGCACACTTACTGTGCCATCGATCTATAAACTGCGTGAACTTCTGCAACTGGAAATGGGAAAGGGGCGACTCTCGCGTCTGTAGATAGGTATTCAGCTGGCTTCTCCTTAGCTGAGAACAGGTTGAAAAGAGGTGTTGGCTAAACCGCCTTGATGTGGTTCAGAGGAAAAAATGCTGAACTGAGAAAGCCAGAAACTTGAAAGTGTCTATATTTCTAACTCTTCTTTAAGTCCAAGCTTCATTACATGGCTTACGGGCCCATGCGAAATCTTGAGATGTTTAGGAAACATCCAAATACAGTTGGCTCTCAGGTAGAGCACTTGAAATATGGAAGTCTGGATCTTGAGTATTGTTTGTTCCTTGTACATTCACTGATATTTATTCATTGCCTGTCTTAGCCAGTAGATTTTAACTCCTTGAACAAAGCTGCTTGTTTTATCCTATCTCTAAACCCTGTCTCCTTCTCTATCTCTGTTATATATATGCCTCAAATGATGCGGTCAGTGGACAAACTGTTGTAAAGAAGTTAAGATTATGCTTGTTTATGTTTTTAAATTATTTTTCGCCAATATTTCTCTTTTCACTGGAGGGGCCCTTTTTTTTTTTTTTAAAGAATATTTTGCTTTGAGGCCAACAGGTGGTGTGGTGGCTAAAGGCGCTGGATTCCCACATGGAGGACAGTGGTTGGAGGAGGCTCAGACCTGGCAGTATGCTTTCTCACTTTCCCATTCTCTTTCACTCACTGATCAAATTAAAAAATAATAATAACAAGTGGAATTAAATTAATATTTTAAGAACTTTGGGGGGGGCTTTTTTGCTATAGGGCACGTGCACTCATGCGCGCAAGGGAGACAACAAGCGAGAAATCACCCCCCAGGGAGAATGGCCATGCTGCAATCCCTTCTCCTCCAGGGATCTTGGGCATGCGCCGCACGTGCACCCGGTGTGAGTTTAAGCTGCCAGGTGTAGGACTTGAATCGTGGTCAACTATGTGGGAGTCCAGTGATGTATTATGCCATCTACTGGTGTAACTATTATGCCATCTATCTTTATCACCATCCCATAAAAAAGAATGTTTTGAAGTTATCACAGTTATCTGTTTGTTTATTTTTTTAACATTTTCCAGAAGCTGAGTGCATGCTTTCTCTAAAATGGAGAAGGCAGGGTGAGAAAGCACCCTCCCGGGGAGATAACCACACAGCGCTCCCTTCTCATCCATTCTCTTGGGATTTGGGACATGCATGTACATGCCCCTGTCTTTTATTTCTGGCCAGCCGGTCTGGGTCTAGAACCGCCCAATTGGCATGTGGAAACCAGCCACCTTAATCACCACCCTACTAGCTGACACCTCATTGGATGTTTTGTCTCTCTGAGTTTTGTTTATTTAATTTTCTGTCTCCTGTCTTCCTCTCTCATCCCTTTCAAAATTTTCAACTTCATTTTGATAAATTACTTCTTAGGGACTTGATCTGACCGCCTTTTGAAAAACAGATATATCTCCATCCTTGAAAGAGTCCACTGAGAAGTGTTAAAACAATTCAAAAGCCGAACTATGAGACACATTGTATGTCGCTTCATAATATATATTGAATATGCATACTCTGTCAGAAACTGAAGGACTGGAAGGTATAAAAGTATGGAGAGCAAATGTGGATACAAAAGACTGTGGAGAGGAGGGTGGACAATGGGAGGGGGAGGAAAGGAATCAAGAGGGGGAAAAGGCAAAACTTTTAATGGACCAAAAATGGAAAGTTACCTGTTAATGATATTATATTTAGTAGTATAGTATCTTTAACTGGACTAATATGAAGTATATTCATGCTGGGAAAATTCATTTTGTGTTAAATGCCATTTCAAAAAAAGAAGAAAATAATTCAAAGTAGCCATTCTTCCCATTGCTGAGATTTCTTGGCTTGTAAAGCATAAAACAAGAATTCTGAGAGCACTAAGGTGGCAAAGATTTTCTTACCAAAAAAAAAAAAGACTAACTTTGAATGAAAGTAAAGAGGAGACAAGTTAGTTGTGATTCTTTGTACCAATGGAAATTGAGAACTAGTTTTAAAGGTGTGATTTCCTCCTTTGGGCATAAATACAAATAGTATGTGTAAAGATGGGTGAGGGTTCAGATTAGGAAGAGATGCAAGGGTAAGAGACTTGACTTTAGGAGTCAGACTAGGATTCCACCATGCTAGTTCTGTGACCTCAGTCAGGTTATGCTACTTCTCTGAGCCTAGTTTCCTCATCTCTTGCCATAATAGTGAAGTTAAATGAAATACTTATTAAATGCATGGTTACAGACCTATGCGAATATTTAAAAATATGTATGTAAAGCACTAGTAAACAGAATAATAGACTAGAAAAACTAATGAGCTACTCATTAGAGGTATGAATTCCAAACCTGATTCCTGTTTCCTGCTCTTTAGTTTGTTTAATATCTCTGAGAGGATAATTATGTAGAAGCTCTTTGTAAAATGTAGTATAAAAAAATTATGAGCCCAACTGAATTATAAACTTTAAGACAGACTCTTTTTAAAATAATTATTTATTTAATTTTATTTATTATTATTATTTTTAATTTGGGCCCATGCGAAATCTTGAGATGTTTAGGAAACATCCAAATACAGTTGGCTCTCAGGTAGAGCACTTGAAATATGGAAGTCTGGATCTTGAGTATTGTTTGTTCCTTGTACATTCACTGATATTTATTCATTGCCTGTCTTAGCCAGTAGATTTTAACTCCTTGAACAAAGCTGCTTGTTTTATCCTATCTCTAAACCCTGTCTCCTTCTCTATCTCTGTTATATATATGCCTCAAATGATGCGGTCAGTGGACAAACTGTTGTAAAGAAGTTAAGATTATGCTTGTTTATGTTTTTAAATTATTTTTCGCCAATATTTCTCTTTTCACTGGAGGGGCCCTTTTTTTTTTTTTAAAGAATATTTTGCTTTGAGGCCAACAGGTGGTGTGGTGGCTAAAGGCGCTGGATTCCCACATGGAGGACAGTGGTTCGAGTCCCAGACCTGGCAGTATGCTTTCTCACTTTCCCATTCTCTTTCACTCACTGATCAAATTAAAAAATAATAATAACAAGTGGAATTAAATTAATATTTTAAGAACTTTGGGGGGGGGCTTTTTTGCTATAGGGCACGTGCACTCATGCGCGCAAGGGAGACAACAAGCGAGAAATCACCCCCCAGGGAGAATGGCCATGCTGCAATCCCTTCTCCTCCAGGGATCTTGGGCATGCGCCGCACGTGCACCCGGTGTGAGTTTAAGCTGCCAGGTGTAGGACTTGAATCGTGGTCAACTATGTGGGAGTCCAGTGATGTATTATGCCATCTACTGGTGTAACTATTATGCCATCTATCTTTATCACCATCCCATAAAAAAGAATGTTTTGAAGTTATCACAGTTATCTGTTTGTTTATTTTTTTAACATTTTCCAGAAGCTGAGTGCATGCTTTCTCTAAAATGGAGAAGGCAGGGTGAGAAAGCACCCTCCCGGGGAGATAACCACACAGCGCTCCCTTCTCATCCATTCTCTTGGGATTTGGGACATGCATGTACATGCCCCTGTCTTTTATTTCTGGCCAGCCGGTCTGGGTCTAGAACCGCCCAATTGGCATGTGGAAACCAGCCACCTTAATCACCACCCTACTAGCTGACACCTCATTGGATGTTTTGTCTCTCTGAGTTTTGTTTATTTAATTTTCTGTCTCCTGTCTTCCTCTCTCATCCCTTTCAAAATTTTCAACTTCATTTTGATAAATTACTTCTTAGGGACTTGATCTGACCGCCTTTTGAAAAACAGATATATCTCCATCCTTGAAAGAGTCCACTGAGAAGTGTTAAAACAATTCAAAAGCCGAACTATGAGACACATTGTATGTCGCTTCATAATATATATTGAATATGCATACTCTGTCAGAAACTGAAGGACTGGAAGGTATAAAAGTATGGAGAGCAAATGTGGATACAAAAGACTGTGGAGAGGAGGGTGGACAATGGGAGGGGGAGGAAAGGAATCAAGAGGGGGAAAAGGCAAAACTTTTAATGGACCAAAAATGGAAAGTTACCTGTTAATGATATTATATTTAGTAGTATAGTATCTTTAACTGGACTAATATGAAGTATATTCATGCTGGGAAAATTCATTTTGTGTTAAATGCCATTTCAAAAAAAGAAGAAAATAATTCAAAGTAGCCATTCTTCCCATTGCTGAGATTTCTTGGCTTGTAAAGCATAAAACAAGAATTCTGAGAGCACTAAGGTGGCAAAGATTTTCTTACCAAAAAAAAAAAAGACTAACTTTGAATGAAAGTAAAGAGGAGACAAGTTAGTTGTGATTCTTTGTACCAATGGAAATTGAGAACTAGTTTTAAAGGTGTGATTTCCTCCTTTGGGCATAAATACAAATAGTATGTGTAAAGATGGGTGAGGGTTCAGATTAGGAAGAGATGCAAGGGTAAGAGACTTGACTTTAGGAGTCAGACTAGGATTCCACCATGCTAGTTCTGTGACCTCAGTCAGGTTATGCTACTTCTCTGAGCCTAGTTTCCTCATCTCTTGCCATAATAGTGAAGTTAAATGAAATACTTATTAAATGCATGGTTACAGACCTATGCGAATATTTAAAAATATGTATGTAAAGCACTAGTAAACAGAATAATAGACTAGAAAAACTAATGAGCTACTCATTAGAGGTATGAATTCCAAACCTGATTCCTGTTTCCTGCTCTTTAGTTTGTTTAATATCTCTGAGAGGATAATTATGTAGAAGCTCTTTGTAAAATGTAGTATAAAAAAATTATGAGCCCAACTGAATTATAAACTTTAAGACAGACTCTTTTTAAAATAATTATTTATTTAATTTTATTTATTATTATTATTTTTAATTTGACCAGAGAGAGAGAATGGGAAAGTGAGAAAGCAAGCCACCAGGTCCAGGATGCAAACTGCATTTGGTCATGTGGGAGTCCAGCACCTTAACCACCACACCACCTGCCAGCCCCTAGGCTCTGTATCTTATACTTCTCTATCTTTATCACCATCCCAGATGCCAGTGTACATTAAAACTGCTTGTTTGGGTTTTTCTCCAAGATCTAACATTTAATAACAATTATTACAGATTTTATAATAGAACCTAGTTATTCTAAATTTTCTAACCAAACCCAAAGGGAAAAATATGTGTGTTTGTGTGTGTGCATGTATGCACATGGTTTTTAAAAATAGACTATTAAGTAGCCTTTAAAGAACTTGATAATGAAGACTTTAAACTGGAAGTTATCAGATAATGGATTAGAGCAAAAAATTATAGTCTGAAAGAAAATGCTGTGGTTTAAATGTATCCCCTCAAAATTCACGTGTTGAAATTTGGTGAGCCATTATAATAGTATTAAGAGGGTGGAGGGAACCAGCAGTTAGAGTAATGGCTGTTGTTGCTGGACTCCCACGTAGTCGACCGCGGTTTGCGTCCTGGACCCGGTCGCTTAAAACTCACGCCGGGCACGTGTGCGTGTGTGCCCAAGATCCCGAGAGGAGAATGGAGGAGAAGGGATTGAGGCGTGACCATCCCCCCTGGGGGGTGATTTCTCGCTTTCTGTCTCTCTGTCTCTGTCTGGCCAGTGCACGTGCCCTATAGCAAAAATCTCTCCCAAAAAAAAAAAAAAAAAGAGGGTGGAGACTTCATCTCATTATCTTATTTTAATGTTAAGCATGGGGCCTTTGAGAGGTGATTAGGATTAAGATTATGTATTTTTTTTAATGTGCCTCATCCTCCAAGCAAAAAATAAATCAGTCTCATTATATTTTCTTGGGGTATGATGTTTATTTCCTTTGTAAAATTTACCACAATTGCAGTTAATTTTTTTGTGAGGTTATCTATTTAGTATCTGCCTCTTACACTTACTTCTAAGTCTAGTGACAAGGTAGTGACCTTGTCTGCCCATCACTTATACTATCCCATCTCTTATACTATCCCAACTCCTGGAATTTAGCAGCAGCACAATAAACAAATGACTATGTAACTATGTTGAACTTAAATTGGAATATAGTTTGTTGACTCTTATGGATCTGAAAAAAATATATATATACCACTATACCGTTATCTTTCCGAATAAATTTGAAAAGAGAAATTGTAAGATATACTACATATGAAATTGTTACCAAGTCTATCATGCTTTCCTAATACTCTTGGATTGTCTTTCCGTTATCCACCAAACATGCATTCACCATACTAATAGTCAAACAGCAGAGAGAACAAATCAGGTGACAAGTATTTGGGAGCAAATGCTACAAAACAACAAAGAAAAAAACAAACAGTGACTGCCTGAAAGGATATTGTATTATTGTCCATAGACAGTGAATGGAAAGGTTTTTTTGTTTGTTTTGTTTTGCTGGGGTTCATCAAATGAAACATAAAGTACTGTATTAACCTTTTTAATTTTAGTATTCAAATTTACTGGTAAATTATAGTTTTTTAGACATCCTTGATCCACTAGAGGGCAATAAATCCTTAAAAACAATTTAACTAACCTTCCTTTAAGAGCATAGAAAACCACATGTGTACAGTTAATTTCTAAACCTGGAAATTTCCTGCTTAAATTTTTCATGTGAGTAATTCTCCCCAATAAGACAGTAAACTCTTTAAGACAGGAAATGTCTTCCTTTTTCAAACTTAGCATAGTGTTTAGTCATGCTGCAGGCTAAGTCTGTTTCTTAAAGTTTAAATTTAATAACAGATGTGTAAAGAATATGACTTGACAAATGTTCATATAGTGATACAATATAAAATTCAATTTTAGGCCCCCTAAAGAAGATAGTCTCTGCTCACAATAGAGCTACAATTAAGAAAAAATTAGAAGTGAGGATAAAATATAAGTAATGATCAAAAAATTTATACATATATGAAACTACTCTGTGTACTCTACATACAGACATAAGATTGTTTTATGATTTAGTGAAATTGTGTTTTAAACCTTATTTAATGGCATATGGGGCAACTGACTTAGGAAGAAAAAAGCTGAAAAAGTAGGATCATTTAAACTGAGAAAACTTCTAGGCAGGACAGCCCCTGGCAAGGATCTGAAGACTGAGCACTAGTCAGGAGAGTGAAAGGTCATTTTAGACAGAAGAGTGGCAAAAAGCAAAGGCATTGGAAACATGAAACCTAACAGTGGGACAAGGAATGCAACTTAGATTAATTTTGTATGTTTTCTGTAGTTTAAGTTATTTAGCACATAATGAGCATGAAAGATCTCGTGTCAAGAGAAGGAGCATTAGGGAAACTAAAACCAAATAGATAATAGGCTAGACTAGAAAAATGGTAGGGCGGGACCAGCAGTTGGCGTAATGGCTATGTCGCTGAACTTGAGTCCCAGACCAGGCGGCTTAAACTCACTCTGGGCACGTGTGCGTGTGAGCCCAAGATCCGGAAAGAAGAATGGAGGAGAAGGGATGCGGCCTGGCCATCCCCCCAGGGGGGGAGGGGTGATTTCTCACTTTCTGTCTCTCTTTCTCTTTCTGGTGAGCACACAAGCCCTATAGTGAAAAAAAAAAAACTCTCAAAAAAAGAAAAATGGTAGGGCTGTAAAAGTTCAGTAGTATAAGGTCAAAGAAAGAAAAGTTATCCTCTTTTTGTTAAAGACTTTTTAGAGGAGCTTAAATGAAATGGAGGAAAATCCTGGTATATGCCTACTCTTATAAAATATTTTTAAATTGCCAGATTCTGCTTACAGTTTTTTATTATTTCAGTGACTATTTGAGTCCTTACCATAGGTTAAGAACAGGAGATACAGTGAAGAACAAGGTAGACTAGGTTCCTGTGTTCATGGAACTTTTAGATTAGTGGATGATAAAACAAAATTAAGCAAGTGCATATATGGAATGATTACAGAGCTTGATTAGTGCCATAAAGGATAAAACAGGATGTCATAGAGGAAAGACGTATCCACTTCTTTCTCTCTCTCTCTCTCTCTCTCTTCCCCCCCTTGTCTCTCTCTGTCTCTGATGAGTGCCTGTGCACTGCAGCAAAAACAAACAAATAAATAAACAAACACAATTAAATAAATCTTTTTTAAAAAGATGCATGGGGACCAGCAGTTGGTATAATGGTTACATCACTGGACTCACACATTTTACCGCGGTTCAAGTCCTGGACCTAGTGGCTTACGCTGGCACATTTGTGTGCGTGCCCAGAATCCCGAGAGGATAATGGAGGAAAAGGGATTGCAGAGTGGACATCTCCCCTAGGGGGTGATTTCTCACTTTCTTTCCCTCTCTCTCTCCCCCTTTCTCTCTGTCCATCTGTGTCTCATCAGGGAGCACACATGCCCTATAACCAAAAATCACTCTCTTAAAAAAAAAAGGCGAATATAAGTTCATGTAATTTCCTTCCTATTAATGTAAAAACAAATTGTGCACCTTATAAATCTGAAAGAAGTTTATTGACATCTTTCTTGAGTTACTGGAATAGATCATTTATTCAAAAATGGTATTCGATTTCCCACTCTTTTAAATCCTTCTACTAATACTTTTCTAAGAATATTTTTAGGGACCAGTAGGTGGTACATGTTTAAGGTGCTGAACACTCCCACATGGCCAACCTCAGTTCAAGTCCTGGACCTGGTGGCTTGCTTTCTTTCCTTCTCTCTCTCTTTGTGTGTGTGTGTGTGTGTGTGTGTGTGTGTGTGTGTGCGCGCGCGCGCGCGCGCGCGTGTGCGTGTGGCCAAATTAAAATAAATAAGTAAATAAAAAACAATTCTTTTTTTTTTTTTTTGAGAGGTTTTTCGCTATAGGGCGCATGCGCTCGCCAGACAGACAGACAGAGACAGAGAGACAGAAAGTGAGAAATCACCCCCCAGAGGGGATGGGCACGCACGCACACATGCCCGGCGTGAGTTTTAAGCCACCGGGTCCGGGACGCGAACCACGGTCGACTACGTGGGAGTCCAGCAACATAGCCATTACGCTAACTGCTGATTCCCAAAACAATTCTTTAAAAAATTATTTGACTTTATTTATTTCCTTATTTTTAATTTGACCAGTGAGAGACACGCAGAGCGAGAGAGAAAGAAAAAGTGAGAAAGCAAACCACCAAGTCCGGGACTATAACCGTGGTTAGTCATATGGGAGTCTAACATCCCTAACTACCACAGCACTTGCCTGCCCCTCTACTAATACTTTGAGTTAAGCAGAAAAATCTAATTTTCTAATACATTGATACTTGCTAGCCTCACTTTAAAAATGAAGCAAGACATCTATTGACTGCAGTGGAGATTAAGTGATTGTCCTAAGAAATTAATATGCATATAAAATTAAAGATTTGTCATTTTTGTCAATGGCTATTTTGTTTTGTAGGTCTTAGTGTGAACGTATGAATAGAAGAAGAAAATTTCTTTTTGCCTCAGTGCTTGGTCTCCAGAATTCAAGTTTTATTTATCCATCATGTCAGAAGTGCTTCTCTCGGATAATCTTACTTCCCAAAAGGTAAAAAGTAAAGCCTGTATGCATAAGAGAGGAAACAAGTGTACATTAGATTTCCTGTAGTTCAAGAGCAAGTAAGGATTAAATTGACCATGCCAGGATTTTAGATTCTCTGAGGGGTTGATTCTTCTGTAAATCTCAGAGTAGAATTGGCTGCTAATCCTTTTATTACTAGAAGGAAGGTTCAAGTTATTGCTAGGTCTTTGCTAAATATCTGCCTGAAAGAAGAAAAATAACCTCTTAGTGAGTTCCAATCCTTGTATAAAACTTCCATCTCTAGGATATCCCTGGCAATCATGTAAGAATTTTTCATTTTTTGTTTATTTTTTCAGATTCCCAGTTTTTTTTTGTTTGCTTTTTGGCTTGGATTTTTTTTAGGTTTTTGCCATAAGGCACATACACAAGACAGAAAGAGAGAAAGAAAGTCGTCACCCTAGGGGAAGTAAGGGGATGGCCATGTTGCAGTCCCTTTTTTATTCTCCTCTTAGGATTTTAGGGATGCAGGCAAACGCACATTCTCAGTTTGATTTTTTTTTCAAGCTGCAGAGTTTGGGACTTAACCACAGTTGACTGTGTGAAAGTCCAACACCTTAACTACCATGCCACCTGCTGGTCCCTCCAGATTATTTTTTAATATAAAGAAACTCTTCAAAAATAAGGGTTATGTTATAGTAATCTCTATCACTCCACTGCTAGAGTGGTGTTTGGCACATAATTCTTGATTATGGTACTCAGGTAAAGTATATATGACAGCGTAAGTTCCTCCTCTGATATTTATAAAATAGAAGAGAGGTTAGGTTTGGGGTTTTTCAAGAATACTTTCCTTTCGCCTGGAGAGGAGCGGGATATCTGGTAAGTACCTAGTAGAATGTAAGTAGTATGCCAACAATATTTTTAACTAATCTTTATCTAATCAGCCTTAATGGAGAGTTGGAGCAGGATTGGCAGTTCTGACTCATATCTAGACTCTAAATCTATTTGCAGTAGTTAATCACTGTTCCCTTACCAAGTTACTCTCTCAGGTATTCATTTATAAGCTCTAAGAGAAAGAACTGTTGTGTCATTAAATCCTTGGCATCCAGCCTACAATTTAGTTCATAGCAAATGAACTAAGGGACTAGCAGGTGGCATGGAAGTTAAGGTGACTGGATCCCACATGACCAACTAAGCAGTTCAAGTCTCAGACTCAGTGGCTTGAAAATCAAACCAAGCATATGTATAGTTATGTCCAAAATCCCAAGAGGGGAATGGAAGAGAAGGGATTGCAATGTGGCCATGCCCCTAGGAAGTGATTCCTCATTTTCTCTCTCTTTCTCTCTCTCTCTCTCTCTTTCTCTTTCTCTCTCTTTCTTACTTTCTGTCTTTGGCGAGCATACGCACCCTATAGCAAACTAAAAAGGAAATGTTCAACAAATGTTTGTTAAATGAATGAATAATGTAACAAGATGACAGTGTCTAGATTTCTTGGTTTCAACTATTTTCATGTACTGTTGATCATCTGAAACAACTAAAACCCATGGGCTATTTGCCTTTGATTAGGATCTATATATAGAAGCAGTGTAGTATAACAAAGAATTCAAGCTTCAGAGAAGAAAACAAGGTTACAGATGGGCTCTGACACTCACTAGTTGTGTGCTGGAGCAAGATATTTAACTTCTAGGAGTATTATTATCATTTGTACAGTGGATAATACCCACAATGTGAGATAACTGTAGTTAGGAATAATGGATAGAAATCTCTTAGTATGGGAGCCAGCAGGTAGTATAATGGTTGAGGTTCTGGACTCCCACACGGACAACCATGGTTTGAGTCCTGGACCTCACGGCTTGCTTTTTCACTTTCCCTTCCTCTCTCTAGCCAAATTTTAAAAGTAATAATAATAATAACAAAATTAAATAGAAAAGAGCTCTCTTAGCATAATACATGACATATCTTAAGATTTCCATAATGTTAGCTCTTATTATTATTATAAAAATGTTACTATAAGTGTACTGATTGGAGTATATCATAATGATTGAAAGCATAATTATCTGAACCCAGATACCTGGGTTCAAATCCCAACCCTGACACAACTGGATAGCCTTGGGCAAGTCACTTAAATCATCTGAGCCTCAAAATGAGGAAAGTAATAATATCTGCCTCAGAGAATTCTTTTAAAGCCCAAATGAGTTAATATACCTGATGTGCTTATACATTTATATAATTAATAGTCGATAAGTGTGAATTTTTTTTAAACTAGTATGTATGCACACATGCAAGAGAAAAAGAAAACATCCAGCACAAGATCTCTTTGTGCCCTGATTCCCTTTTGCCAGCCCTCTGGCTCCTCAGAATTTTGGGCACCTGTGCATGCACTTGGCATGTTTTGGGGCTGACCCCAGTATGTGAACCTGCTATGGCCATGTAGCTTCCAGCACTGTAGTCTAGTATGTTATGGACTGTGCCACATAGGCTAGATCAGTATTTTGAAAGAATATTTTTTTGCAAGTTGTTTCTTTTAAAGATCATCTGCTATAAAAATTTGGGTTGAACAGTAATGCCAAGGTTACCTCTGTAGAAGAGAAACACCAATGGATAACAGTAACAAATGTTATAGTGTACATGGATGTTTATATCCATGAACATGCTAGGCACTATGCTGGGATCCTTATATCTTTTTTTTTTTTTTCTTTAAAGAGAGTTTTGTTGTAGGCACATGTGCTCACTGGAGACACAGAGACAGAGAGAGAGCAAGTGAGAAATCACCTTTAAGGGGAAGGGTTGGCCATAGTCTCTTCTCCATTCTCTCAGCATCTTGGGCATGCACACACTTACTTGCAACCTAAGTTTCAAGCTGCCAGGTCTAGGACTCAAATCGTGGCCAGTCTCTTGGGAGTCTAGTGCCTTAACCACTATGCCACCTGCCGTCCCCAGGCTTTACATCTTTTTAATGCAACCACCTATGAAGTGGATGGTGCCATTAATGCCAATTTTCAAAGGAGACAATTAAAGCTTAGAAAAGTTAACTTGGCCCCAAATCACGCAGTCAACTAGTTAGGGGTAGAAATATACTCAAACTGAAACAGCCTGCATGCTGGTTACATTCATAATCGCTGTATTACCAACAAATTAGCAGTAGAAACTGTATTCAGAATGACACACACCCTTCCCAGAGTTTAAGATGCCCTGTGAAAGGAGCTCATACTGAACCATGTAGGCACATAAAACTCACACAGGTCCTTGCCTGTGGAAACATAGTCATCGGAAATATAACCTGTTTCTACATATGTAGGAAAAGACATGACATATTCTTTCTTTTTTAAAAAAGAATGATTTATTTAATTTAATTTATCATCATTACCTTTTCTTAATTTGGTATTGGACACATGAGCTCATCAGAGAGAGACATAGAGAGAGAGAAAGCAAACTTCCAGGTCTGCGACTCAAACCATGATAGGCCTTGTGAGAGCCCAGCACCTTAGCCACCACACTACCTGCGGCACCATGGCATATTTTTCTCTGTTTGTCTATGCAAAAATGCAGCTTGACTTCTGACAGCCCAATATTTCATTGACAATACTACAAGAAAAATCTTATTTCCGTAATTTGCGCTGCTTTTCTGTTTCTTTTTCCTTTCTCATTTGTAATCAGTTGTAAGGCAAATAGGAAACTAATCCCTCACATTCATGTTCACATCACAAGAGCACAAGTTTATGATGGAGGATTATGACAGAGGACTTCCACACTCTAGCCTTTATAGAACTTAGGAGACACTAAAGACCGGGGATACAACTACTTAAAGAATTTCTTTAAACTCCAAATCCTTGGTGACAATCATAATAGGTGTTTTGTGAAGTTAACTTTTTTTAATATTCAAGATTAGAGCAGCGGTAGATTTTAAACTACCTTCTACAGAGCCTTAGGGCTCCATGGTTGTGCTTCTGGAGAGACAAAGGAATTCAAGTGCTATTTAGTACTACCCACACCATAACTACTTAAATATATACATGTTTTAGACATAATATTGCACACTTAATAGACTACAGTATAACATAAACATAGCTTTTATGTGTACTAGGAACCTAGGAAAATTCATGACTTGCTTTTTTTACAACATTAAATTTATTGCAGTATCTATAACCAATCTGGCAGTAACACCAAGGTATGCCTATACACACACACACACACACACACACACACACAATTATGTGTGTGTATATATGTATGTGTATGTTTACTCCTGAAAATGAGCAAGAGAAGTAATTTACCAAGATAATGTATCCACCCAGTCTAAACCAATGTAAATTTACCTTTACCTTTACCTTTTAGGTGATTTTTTTTTTTTTTTGAGAGGTTTTTGCTATAGGGCACATGCACTCGCCAGACAGACAAAGAGACAGAAAGCGAGAGATCACCCCCCAGGGGGACAGCCACGCCACAATCCCCTCTCCTCCATTCTCCCCTCGGATTCCTGGGCACGCACGCACACGCGCTCAGAGTGAGTTTTAAGCCACCAGGTCTGGGATGCGAACCGTGGTCGACTACGTGGGAGTCCAGCGACATAGCCATTATGCTAACTGCTGGTCCCCTTTTAGGTGATTTAATGGAAACTCATTGTCCCTTTAGATAGAACTCTATCCCCAAGGCTTCCCCTGTGTTTCCTGCGCCCGCACGCACACGCGCTCAGAGTGAGTTTTAAGCCACCAGGTCTGGGATGCGAACCGTGGTCGACTACGTGGGAGTCCAGCGACATAGCCATTATGCTAACTGCTGGTCCCCTTTTAGGTGATTTAATGGAAACTCATTGTCCCTTTAGATAGAACTCTATCCCCAAGGCTAATAACTTTCTTAGTCCATCTTAAAATGGAAATTGTTCAGAGACTGCCCATCTTATCTCTCCTCTCCAACCACTCAGTTTCTTTTTTGCTATAGGACACATATGCTCGAAAGAAGACAAAAAGCGAGAAATCACCACACACCACACCACCCCACCCCCGTCCCCAAAACGGGATGACCACGCCTCA